TTATATTTAAATTAATATAATAAAAAATTATATTAATTAATTTATCTCTCATTATATTAAGTTACTAATTATTTTAAATTTCTACCTCATTAAATTTTCATTCTTGTATATTTAAAAAGGAGTTAATGAGCATCATGGATCTTAAACTATTATTTGAATAGTATTCTGAACTCTAAACTCTTAAAATGAGCAAAAAAGCCTCTCAACTTGTAAATTCTAAGTAAATTATCTCCTACCATTTATTCTTACAATGTTGACCATTATATAATCTAGCTGGCATGTCATGTGTCAAGAGAGATTAGTGTTATGTCAACCTTTGACTGGGCTCCACAAAGACAAAAGTAATAGTAACTATATGTAAATTAATGACAAGGTAATTTGCTTGAAATTTACAAGTTGAGAGAAGTTTTTGCTCATTTTAAGAGATTAAGGTTCATGACTCTATTCAAATAATAGTTTAGAGTACTCTACAATACTCGTTAACCCTTTAATATATTTTTTTATCAATTTATATAATTAAAACTTAAAAAGTTACTATATAAATAAGTTTATTTGAATGAATCTTAAATTTGCCATATTACATGGATAAGTTTATTTATATTTAATATTTTTTATCAATTTATATAATTTAATTATGATGTTAAAGGGGTATTTTAGTCCAAAATATATTATTTAACGGTTAATTGTTGGATATATGAAAATTGAATCTTTAAAATAAAAGGAGAGATATGTGTAATGTAATTTTTATTTTAAGAAAGGTTTATATAGGTTTTAAAAATAAAGGGAGGTATTTGTAATTAAAGTAAAATAAAGGTTAGGTCGGTGAATTTCACCCTTACTATTCTTCTATATATATATATATCTATATATATCCTTCAATTTCTTTCACACCAACATTTAATAGATAGTAATAAGGTGCCATGTACCTTTGGCCAAAAAAAAAAAATAAAAATAAATAAGAAGAAGAAGGTACCATGTACGTCGCGATACAGATCACACGCTAAGAAGTGGGGTACCCTTATGTAGATTGTATTTAATGGTTGGCAAGAGAGAGCAGCATAAAAAGGGCTTCTCATTTACAAACAACACAATGAGGTTTATTTAAAAAAAATTATAATTAAGTTATGACTTTTTATAATTTAAAAATATTATATAAATTATAAAAATTATCAATTTGTTAATTATCAATCTAGATAATACATATAATTTAGATAATTTAATTTAATATTAATTTTTTTATTTTTAAAATTAACTATCCTACTTTGGATGGTCTAAGTTTAATATTAATTTTTTATAAATTTTTATTTTGATAAATACAATATCAAAAATAATGATAATATCATAACTAACACTGTTCAATTTTTTTAAATTACAAATTAAAATTTTTAAATATAAATCATTCATAATAAACCTGAATAATCAATTTAAAGAATTATTAAAATTTTAATATTAAATTTTAACCATCGGAATTAAATATGGAATGTCTAAATCAATTAACATATTTATTTAAAAATTTTATTTATATAAATCACAGTAGATATAAAGTGATTAAGTATCTTGCCTGTGAAAAGGTTTTTAATGCATCTCTGAATTATCCCACTTCCCAACCAGTGGATCATTTTTTCGCTGCATATGATCTGTATCCATGTGTGTCGCTTCTGATCTTCCAGTCTGACAAAATCCGACAGCTTTTTTTTTTTTTTTATGAAAGCGATAATAAGATAGTTCACAAATCACTGCAGATCTGGTTTAAAATCGTCGCAAATCAAGTTCACTTTGCATCCATCCTCCTTTCTCGCAAATCGTTGCAGATTTGGTTCGACGTCTCAAATCTCAGTTCATAGCCAACGGAGTGGTGTCAATCGTGAAGCCGTGAAGGAAAGAAGTGTGGCGGCAGATCTAAAAGTGGACGTGCTTGTTTGAATTTCAGTTAAATATAATAAATTATAAAAATAATTAATTAAATGATAAATTATAATTATAATTAATTATATTATAATACAATTTATTTGGATATTTATACTAATAAATTTTTTAAAGGTTCAAAATTTAAATTTTACTTAAAAAAAAAGAAAAGAGTTTTATTTTATTTTTATTAAATTTTGTGTCTTTTTTGTAATTTTTTTCTTGGACATTTTATGTAATTTTTTCATATCACTTTGTAAAAAAAAAAAATGCAGAAGCGAGAAGCTGAACCTTGCAACTTTGGAAAAAATTGATTTTTTTTCCAAAAATAGCGATTAAGTCGAGAAGTTAGTGTTTGGATAAATTATAATTAATTAATTTTTTTGCTCCTAAATCAATTAATCCCTCAAACAGGCATGACTTGTTGAGGAAAATGAGGAAACAACCTAAGGGCATAAAATGTTTTTTGCCATGATGTAATGTAATTCCTATTAGTGTGGTCTAGACAGTGGCGAAACTAGGATCTATGTCAGATTAATTTTAAGAATAATAATTCAAAAGTAATTATTTACTATTTTTGAAAATAATATTTTATAATTTCCCCTTATTATCAAATGCTATAAAAAATATTCCTTCCATATCAGTCACTAATTTATAATATTATTTATATATAAAAAATCTATAAATATATAATAATCAACCATAAACTTTAAAAAATTAAATAAATTAGTGTATTTTTTTTAAAAATCATATTAGAGTTTTGAATTTAGTAAATTTAAAACTAAGCTTAAGTTAAAACATTCACACAAAAAAAGAGTCTAGATTTCAAGGGATGCAAAACTTTGTAACTCTAGAGAGGTTAAAATAACAAAATTTATACTATTTATTTATAATTTCTTTCAAATTAAAGGGTGCATATGCCTCTCCTCAAGTGCATCTGAATGCACAAGAGTACAAGGGAATCTGGATTACATTGCTATTATACTGAAATCAGCCAAGTACCAGGAATCACTAAAATGAATCAGGATTACATGCCAAAACCACAATCATGATTTACTAATGTGCTGCAACCGTTTCTTTTTAATTATTATTTATTTTGAAAAAAAAAAATCTTATTCCCATTTATTTGTCATAATAAAAATTTAACAATATTGAAATCTAATATTAGGATGCTCCATTAGAATAGTCTTGGGTTGAAGCCCAATAGTTACAATCATAATGGGCAAAAGCCCAGTAATTAAAATATGATTAGGCTGAAGCCCAATTTGTTCAATGACTGAATGAATCCTAAACGAATTCCATGAAACCTTCAAAAATTCCATAAAATTAAGTCAATTAATCCCCAACCAAAATGAATTCTTCAACCAAACTTATTGAAACTGGGATGCTACATTATGACTAAGAAATTATAAATATACTTTCAACAATTTAACAACCAATATATTGATAACGAAATACTGGCAAAATAATAATAATGACACAAGGAATGGTTAATGGTTCCTATTTGTCTGGACCTTGGCTCGTTTTGTTTTTCTTCATCTAATTGCATTCAAGTACATTTATAGCAAACATTTCGAACTAGTTTTTAAGGATGAAATAATTACAAAAGAAAGGTTGGAATGATTGAGGGAAAACATTGTTTGACCAAACAGGGAAAAACAAAAGAGGAAAAAGAAAAGAAAGTTGACATGCCTCTCAGATAGAGTAAAGAGGTTCAGCATTTTAATATTTTTTGCCCTTTCTTTTTCAAGAATCATGTGTTAAATAATAGGCATTGATACTGACAGATGGCTTTTGTGACTTGTGAGTCAAACTTTTACCATCGGATGATATTTAATTATTTTGTGATAAAAATACAATGAAAAAATTGTCAAATACTCTCTCCATTTAAAATTATAAAGTATTTTTAATCAAATTTTATCTTCAATAAAATAATTATTTATTTTTAAATTAATATTATTTTTTATATTTACTCTTATTAAACACCCTACAATAAATATAAAGTCATTCAACAATAGAGACATTTAAAAAAAATAATGATATATTCTTAAAAGATTAAAAATACCTTATATTTTTAATATTTAACTCATTAAAAAAAGTCTTATATTTTTAAACAAAGAGAGTATTTGCATTAAAAGGTTACTTACAAATATTATATTTTCTGGAATTATTTTTTAAATTTTATGTCATGTATTTCTTTAGTTCTAACTAATAAGATATTTCTAGATAAAATCACTTGTACCAATAAAATTTATTAAATACACTTAATATTATTTTTTAAAAAATAAAAATATAAATAAAAAAATCCTTCTTTTAAACTTATTTTATAAAAAATACTAAAAAGAGAGAATATATATCAAAAATAATATTAAAAAATTATTAACAAAAATTTATTTTTATCAACATATTTTATATTTTAAGATATTGAATCTCTCATAGAAGTATTTTATAAATTGAGAAGGAGAGAATATAAAGAACATTTAATTTTTTAAAATAAGTGTTTTGTTAAAAATATATTTGCATAAATAAATAGTACAATGAACGAATATCAGTAATCAATAAATTCTGGCAAAAATAATGAATAAATAATGTAAGTTTTATTTCCGGCCAATAAGTAATACTCCCTCCATTTAAAAATATAAAGTATTTTCTAAGGAGTTGGATATTAAAAATACAAATATTTTTAGTCTTTCAAAATATAATGATTGTCTTTTTTTTAAAGTATCTTTATTAATAAAAACTTTATATTTATTGTAATTTTTTAATAGAGATAAATATGAAAAGATAAGATTAATTTAAAAATCGATAACTATTTTATTAAAAGATGAAATTTAATTAAAAATATTTTATATTTTTAAAAGAAAGGAGTAACAAATTGACAATAAGAATGAAAGTTATTATTATTAGCGCAATAGGAAGATTTAAAACAAGAATATTAACGTACATTTCCAATTAAGACTAATCAGTGCAAGAGAAGCGTGTGCAGCATTCATTCCCTCGCTCCTGTTAGTTCAAATTTTAAAAACGACTCTTCACCTTAATTCAGTTCACACACCCTCACACCAACGCACACAACACAACACACACACACACTCTAATTCTCTCTCCCAGATTTTTCAATTTCAAACCTAAAAAAGAAAAAAAAAAAGAAGTGGAAAAAGGTTTGATTTGAGGTTTTGAAGACGAAATCCTCCTCTCCTCCTCCTCCTTGACATGCTCATTCTCTTCCGATTCGTACTTCGTTTCCTCTACCGATCATTTTCCAGAGTCATGGGTTGCTTCTTCGGTTGCTTCAGGTTCAGAGACGATCGCCGCCTCCCAACTGCCCAGCTCGTCGCTGATCATTCCCGTTCCAAATCTGGTGTAATGTTCTAGAATTTTGTTTCATACCGTCAAGAACTGTCGATACAGCTTTTTCCTTATCTGCTTTTTTCTGTCTTTCTTTTGTAATTTCAAATTTGTGTTGCGTGCTTGCTAAAGAAGGCGGAGAAATTGTTCTTTATGGCGTCGTGATTTTTCTCGTTTCCTGCATCTTTAAGAAATTGAGGAACAATCAAAGTTGCGTAGAGTTTTTTTTTTTAATCTATTGGTTTGTTTATTTATTGTTGCTGGCTTTAAAGCAGGAAGCTGTGGTATCTCGAAATCATCTCTCTTCTTTATTTTTATCCGAAGGTATCTCTCTTTTCACTGCTATCTATTTCTTAGTTGTTATAATTACCTTTCTGAACCTTTTTCTCTTTTTCAGTATGATGCTTAGTACTTTTTTTTGGTTTAAAAACTTTTTTGAAGACAAAGAAGATGCTCCACGCGATGCGAGGATACAAGTTGGCTTGGGATCTCAGATGGATGACAAGGCGCTTATGGATGAGGTAATTTTTATCCAATGATAGAAGTATGCTATGTCCTACAAGATCAGTTGTATCGGATTTTCCATTTTGGTTTGTAATTGTACTTGGTGGACATTTTATTTCAATTTCAAATCATCCTGAGGGAGAACGCCATTTTTATCTCCTGTGATTCTCTTTCATCCTGTCAGATTTTATTTATGGGTTTCTCTTATCTCTAATCAGGTGCAGTGCACCAATTTTCTAGCTTTTGTTTTCTCAGCTCTTCTGTTCATGAGCGGAGTGACTGAGAATAACTTGCCATACATACCTCTTAAGTATGAGAATATACTGGAAACTAGTTCACATGTTAAGAATCAGCATTTCCTACCATCTTCGTCTAGTTTTGACTGTTATAGAAGTCATCCGTCACTTTGGTACCACCATTCTGGTCTCACTATGCCTTTTGAATTGTGTAATTCTTAGAAGTTTCCTTAGCTTTACAGAATCGTTTGTATTAGAAGTCCTTATTCGCTCATTCTTCTTTACCAATTTAGTGTGTTAATTTCTTACAATCATGAATCGACTATTTAGTTCTTCCATGACAGATTCTATACTTATTCCAAAGTAGAGATATTATCACGTATTCAATGCTATTATTCATTTTGATGGAACATCTATCTTTACATGAATTTCAAGACTAGGAATCTGTAAAATGCTTGAGAGACGCAATAGTCTGTTACTCTGTTATTGACTCTCTGCCATTGAGTTTTTCTTGTAACTCAAGTTGGTGCATATGGCTTTCTTTAAATGTGCACACAATCTCGTGAACTGACACTCCAGTTGCCTCAATATTGCTTTGGTTCATGTAAATCACAAATGTTCTAGTACTTGTCTTTGTTTAGTATTGTTCAATGTCAGAGGGATGGAGAAGGGCGAGTGATTTTTAGAGGAATCTCTATCTGTTGACTTGGTTAGTAAGCCTAAAAATAATAATTATTTATTTATATGATGGCAAATTGATGCATATTGCTGGCCTTGTACTCAAACTGGACAAAAAGGTCATTGCGGCTTCAAATTAGATGTATCATTTTCTTGGTAATTCATCTTGTTGCCTTTGTTGTGAAGATAAACAATTTTCAGGCTATCATGCTGATGATATTGCGGGAGTTCCACATTGATATATCTACTCCATTATGTAACTGTGCAGTTTGAGAAGCAGCAAAATAAGTAATCATAGAAAGTACACTCTTAAAATGTTAACTCAAATTTATACAAATTAAACTTATTTTATGAAGAATGAATCTTTGAGGTTCATTTTTACATGTAACAACCTTTTCAAAATATTTTAGGGATTTTTGTAATCAAATAATTTATTAATTCTTATTTTATGAACTTATTATCTAATTCTATTTGGGTGTCTTTGAATTCATGTATTGTTTCTTTAACATTGATTATCTGGTTAAGTAAATTAAATTTTTTCTGTAGGCCAAGTTTCTTAAAGCTTGCGGTACTTTGGCTGGGACCCCTGCTGAAATCCGGAAAGCATCTCGGAAACTGAAACCGTCACCTTCTTGTAGCAAGGATTATGAATCTTCACGGTTTCATTCTTGGCTTCCTAATGCATCTGTTGAGAAGCTCCAGTTGGATGTTCAGACTCTTGATCCCCCAACTCCCATAAAACCTGCTGAACAATGGGGAGATGGCAGGGATTCTTTAGACCGCACACCAAGCAGGTTATCCAACTCTTTTTCTTGCATATCTCTTTTTCTTTTTCTTTTTCCTTATAATGATTAATAATGATTGTTTAAAAACGGTTTTAGTCCTTTTTTAAATAGAAGATCGTATCTCTTTCGATCCCAGCTGATATGTTTAGATTTGGAAGTTGACTGTGCTTGGAATCGGCTATGGCTTATCACACTACCAAAGAAGCTACGAGAATATAACTCCTTAAAGGCTGTCCCTGGAAAGAAAAAAAAAAAAAAAAAAAATTGTGACGCTGGTCTCCCCCGCCCTTTCCCCCTTTTATCATGCTTTTTATGGAGTCGTCTTCTTGTGAAAGACATATTTAGTTATACCTTGTCCTTTCCTAAAAGTTACATTGCTCTTGAATACATGATAATGATAAATTTATTAATCTTGCAGTTGTATCTCCAATGCACAATACACTCAAAGTGACTCTGCTGACTCAACTGAAGGAAGTAAAGCAAGGAGCCTTTATACCGTTGGCAAGACTTGTGATAATCGATCTGAAAAAAAATGCAGCTTCAGTTTCTCCATGGCCAACGGTTGCAGACATTCAGAGAAAGAACAAGTCTGTACGTTTTGAATGTGATACTGATTTCTCTTCCTGTGGGAGTTCTTCTGAATATGGTGGGGGTCCTATGAAGAAAAACAGAGTCACCAAACAATCAGAGTGCACACAAATCATCACCTTACGCAACCCCTAGGAAACTATCTGATGAAATGCAAACACCTGGAACTGTGTACCCTGCAACATTAGATGATTTTCCTAATGGTAAGCCTCGAGTTAGGTCCCAGTTTGTGTATGCATTCCAAGAACACGAGAGAATCTCTCTCAGTGCAAGGTGCTTGAGGAAGAAGATTTAAACACTGAGCAAGATTCAAGTGATCTGAGATCTTCTCATGAGCAGCCTCAAAATTCAACTCCTACAATAGAACAGTCAAAGCAACACTCATATGAAAATGAATCTAAAGTGGAAGAAAGCTTATCTACTTGGTTGAAGCCTGCATCAGTCATTGAGGCAGAGAGAAGGAAGAGAATGGAGGCTGCTTACAGTCAGATTCCTCTTTCTCGTAAAACTCCTGCAGATAGGCCTATCATTGGGATGGTTGCAGCTCACTGGAACGAAGAAGAATCCGAAATTCCTCCCCCAAAGTGGTGGGATGGCAATGGCATACCAAATTCAACGAATAAGTATAAGGAAGTATGTCTTTTACATCTTTATTTGTGATGCAAGGATTCAAAATTTAAAATACTGAAATTAATTAAAGCGGATTGTTTACAGGATCAGAAAGTAAGTTGGCATGCAACACCATTTGAAGAGCGGTTGGAGAAGGCCACTGTCTGAGGACAGCTTTGTCTCTCAAGGTATGCTATGCCTTCTATCCATTTGTTGTTTTTTGTTTCCAATAATGCTATGAACAGTTAGTCGTTGTCTCATTGTCATTGATCAAGTACAATGATATCATATTATTCATGTAATTGACCTCACTTAATGGGATAAAATTCGTTATTTTTGTCATGGTGTGGCTGGCTTGCATTTGGAGCTGGCCAGTTTACTTGGGGCAAGATCCTGCTTGAACTCGATTAATTTTATTTTAAGGGCAAAAGACACGAAAGTTGAACTCTGGGAATCTATGAAGATTAAATTGGTCAATTTACCGATTCAGAGACCTGCTTGGTCTCTCAAATTTGTTCGTGTTCATTGAAGAATTCATTCATTTTTCATTGCTGTTGAATGTGTAGTTCTCAACATTTCGTTCTATAAATATGAATAGTAACATCTTAGCAATTTGTGACTGATTAACAGGAAGAATGTATGTGGAAAGCCCATTGCTTTTGATGACAATGAAGAAAGTGATACAGCTCTATCTCAGATGCAAACCTCAAGTCATCCGCAATCTGTAGTGACATTTTGATAAATCTATCAGTTGGTCATTACTCATTCCTCAAGTATCGGTTGGTGGATAGGGTGATGGCAGTTGAATTACCAATCCGATTATAAACCACTTTTTGGTGGTAAGGTAGGCTACAAAGTGTGCCGGCGCTTGCATTGTACAAAAAGTAATGAGAATTGAGTTAATGGGGGTATTGGATTAACGGAGCTTAGGGTCCGTGGACTTTAATTAATTTTTGTAAAATACATTAATTTATTGTGGACTTTTAAAAAGAATTATAACAAGCATTAAAGAATGTCTCTAAAAAGGAAAAGACGAATGCAACAAGGAAGTTCATGAATATAAGTAATAATGCAGGGCATGAAGTACTGTATTGTTGCAAATATTTTATTATATAAATTAATGTTAATATTGTGTTGATTAGATGACAATATCATGAAGATTATGTTGTTCGTGTTGGATGATATGCAAAATCTGCGCTCTCTGCAAGTAAAACAATGTGTTTGACAATCAGCGGGCCTTCATGAGTTGCAATGACGTGAAAGTGGCTTTGCTTTGTAAATTGCAAATCATTTTCTCATACGGGACGCACAAAACTTATCATTATACCATAACGCAAAATGCTTAGTGTTAAAAGGTGATCCTAGAGAACACAGGCAGTGGCTAGCCATCTTGATTTGAGGGGTGCAAATCACTTAAGAAAAATTACAAGTGATATATATAAAATTTACAATTTTGCACCCTTTAAATTGAATGAAATATTATTAAATATATAATATTTTAATAATTTAAATAAGTAAGATATGAAAAACATATTTATAATAAAATATTATACCAATTTGTTCAATATAATTTTTTTACAATAAAAAATGATGATAAAACTATTTATATTATTATAATTTAGCCCTAACATTATTATTATTTTAATATTAATTTTTTATTAAATAATTTTGCATCCCCTAACTCTAGATCTTGACTCTACCAATAAATACATGCAACATTTATAGAATATTATTGACACCTCTAATAATAGTTTTGATTGTTAAAATTAATTTCTTTAAATAAGTTAATGTTAACAATAAGGGTTAGATCTAGTGAAAGGGATTAATCTCTCATAATGTAAAGAATTATAGTTTGAATTTTTACTGAGAGAGATGTTTATATTTAATGACAATGTTTTAAACAAAATTACTTTTAATAAAAAGAATACCAACAAGAAACCAAAAAAAAAAAAAAAGAACTCTTAAATCATATTTAGAATCAACTATATTATAAGATAGATTGAATGAGTTAGTTATACAAGTGAAATGTTAAAAATATTTGATTATGAAATTTTGTCAATTGATTTCCAACCTAATAAATATTATCATCGCTAATCTTTTAATGGCTTTTTTATATTCTTTAATATCTCCTCATATTTGATTTGATTATGTATACTCTCTTTCTTTTAATATTTTTTGCACAAGATCTTAATGTTAAACTTACAAATAGAATCGTCCACTTTCCCCTCAAATGCATCGAGGACATCTAGCTTGTGAAAGAAAGAAGAAAAATTTCTCACCCTGGTGATCCAAGAAAGCAAAATTTACGTGAAATTTGACGATTAAAATTAAAAAAAAATTGAGAAAAAAAAAGAGAGAGAGAAGAAAAAAGATCCTATAAATTTAGGAATGGGTGGAACCGGAAGGCGGAAGGGTGAGCGGGAACTGGTTAGGGCACGCAGAGAGGGAAGAGAAAGGATGAGAGTGCTTGAAAGCGGCAATTACATGTGGATACGGAAACCAACCTGAGGGGATCGTGATGCTTTCAATTCCTTAGTTTTCAATCTGAATTTTCACTCTCTTGCTGCTCGCATTCTCCTCTCTCTCACTCTCTGTGCAGCTCCCATTGCTCACACCTTGGACCTCGTGATGATGCGTGTCACATCTGAAGGTTCTAATTTCAGCTTATTGATCTCGACTTATTTTCCCCCTTTCTTAGGCGAGTTATTTTGTAAATCGTCATAGTTTGATTGGAGTTTTGTGGGCTTTTGGTTTGACTCTGATTTTTGAGAAAAACGAACCCTAACAATTTTTTGTTTTGTTTGTGTGCTTTGTGATAGATTTGATTTGCTTTGAAAACATGGCATCGTTTATAGCTTCTAGAGTTTGTTTGTGTTTGTTCGTTTGTCCAGTATTTTGCTTTCCATTTTATCGCACTTGATTCTTGATTTTGAAATTTGAACACTAACCAGTTTTGTTACATTGGGATGTCATATTGTGAGGCGTTGGTGAATGGTGAGATTTGGATTGTGTTT